ATATATATATATATATATATATATATATATATTCGTAGATTTTCATGGATACAGGTATGTAGGTCTAGGTGTGTTCGGGTCTTTTCCCATGTAAGATTAAGAGTATCTTGGCAACGTTTCGGCGAGGTCCCACTCACCATCCTAAGGCACAAAGCCGAAAGCACCAGCCTGAGGATGTCGAGTGGGACCTCGCCGAAACGTCACCAAGATAGTCTTAATCTTACACAGGAAAAGACCCGAACACACCTAGACCTACATATACATATACATATACATATACATATACATATACATATATACATACATACATACATACATATATATATATATATTAGCTTTAAAAAAAATCATATTAGTGGTCATCAGGATTTAAAAGTATGAGTTAGGTTGTCCCTGAGATCCAAAAGGTTGGTGACCCCTGTCCTAGACCACTCCATGGTAAAACTGAGTTTTGTCTGAAAAAACACCTGCTCTTTTCAGGGCCAAGCATCTCCAATAAAAATGGCCATGGGCATCAGAACTGGACACCATGCTTAGACAATCACTCCTGTGAGTGAGGGACAACCATTAGAATAGCCATTGGAAATGCCTAAAACTTAGAAGTACATCAGCAAGCAGGAATGTGATTTCCATAAATTTTTCATATTCTAATTTGCACATGCCTATAACTCCCAACTTCTTTTTTTTAACAAATTTTATTAATTTTTAAAAACAATACACAAACAAACAGAACATAAAATATAAGAACATAAAGCATCTTTTCTGAGATCTGATTATTGAATTTTACAAACAGCATGGTTCCAGATTATTACATTTCCATACAAACACAATTTAATATGCATATCTTATATATTCAACTTCATATCTTTTTCCAACTTCTCTCTATTTCTCCCTTTTCTTCTATTCAATTATATTTCTTTTGTCTTGATTTCTATATCTTTTTATTCATTTGTTTACTTCCATCTGTCTTGCTTACAATTTCATTGTTCTTTTCCAACATTCTTCTAGAGTTTTATTAGTTCAAACATAGACAAACAAAACACAAAACATAAATACATAAAACTTCTTTTTGGAAAGCGGCTTAACACCGGGTTACATCTTTTTATACAGACATAAATCAAATTCATGCTCACCTTGTATACTATTTCATATCTTATTTAACATTCTATATTTTCTATATGTTTTCTCTCCTCTATTCACTCTCTTAATTCTATTTTATTTATTTCATCTCAGTTTAAATCATTATAATTGCATCTTTTGTCCGTTCTTTTTCAATTATCTATTTTTCTTTTCTTTCTAGTACAATATTTCTCCTGTAATACTGGTTGAAGTATGACGCCTTTTTATCTTTCCCCTAAATTTAACACTTAAAATAATACATACTTTCCATACTGATTCTGCTTAGTACATTCTAGATACTACATTTTGAAATAATAAAAAAAAGAAAATATGCTTATAGTATAGTAAAAACATAGGAAATTAAACTCTATTGTTAAGTCTTAGCCATTTTATACATTCCCTTTAACGTATTGTTAACTTATATAATATTCCAATTTTCTAACTCTATTTCATATACTAATATCTACAATACAGTCTTATGTACTTTTGCAGAATCTTTTTTTTTTAGTTGTATTTTACCCTTTGTCTCTAAAACAAAACCCTGTTTTTTAACATCTTGTTTTAAGCCTCTGTGACTTCTCTTCCCCTTTTCCCTTCCTTTCTTGCCGATTCTAGACTTTTTACCCCCCCATCTCTCAATCTCTGCTCTCTAAGTCTCCCCGCTCTGTTGTATTCCTCTTTTCTGTTGCTTTCTGACATTGTATCCATTTTTCACCTTATTTTTCCCTTTCTTGGTTGTTTTTTTTAAGTTCTGAATTCTCCATTTTCTTTCCCCTTTTTCTCTTTTCTTCCTCAACTAAAATTATTTGTCCATTAAAGATGGGTTCTTCTTCTTCATCCCAGCTTTCTTGTTGTTGTAATTCCTGATAGCTAGAAATCGCCATTTCTAAAAAATGAAAGATAGATCCAGAAGAGCCCTTGCCTTCTTGTTCCACTTCTTTTAAACTTTTGGTATTCCATTTGCAATTCTTCAACAGATAATGCCATTATATATATATATAAAAAAATTTTAAACAACCCAAATGTTTTTAGTCTTTCAAGGAATAATTTCCAAAAGTCCCAAAGTCACCAAGCAATCCAAATCAGGACAAACTGTTTCATTTAGCACTTTCTTCTTTGTAAATTTTCTCCTCCTGGGGTAGATTCAGTTACTCAGTTCCAAAATATTTTTTTAGAAGTCTTATTGCCATTTATTTCTGGTCTTATAAGCTCCAAGCAGTCTCCTCCAGTAAAATCTTAATAAAGGTTCTTTACCTCTCCCTTCCCACTTATAGCAAAAAGATTTTAGTTTTTAATTCCAATGTTCAAAGATCTTTAATATCCCCTTGGCTTTAAATTTCAAGTTAGCTACCTTCTGTGCCAAAGCAGGTTTTTCATATCCCCATCTGCTATTTCCGTAGGGAAGGAGAGTGAAAAAAATAACTTTCCCTTTAGACTTTCTTCCGCCGCTTTTTATGATCTTCTTAGGAAACAATGTATCATTTAAGAAATTGAATTTCCAGGGTATTTAGAAGTTCCTTATTGTCCCGGTTCAGCCAAAACCTTTCACTTTCTCCAACTTCCTCCTGCACAATCTTCTCCGGCTGCAAGCTTCTTTGTTTTCTTTTCATTGCTGACCGCCGCTCCACCGCCTTTGGAAAAGGGAGTTGTGCCGGCTAAGGAGGGGGTTGAGATACCTCCAGACCCCTATCTGGATCTCACCTGTCTTCGGTTACCTCTACGGGGTAACCATAGCCTCCAAATCCAGCTGGATTGGGGGCACTCCAGCAGCGAGCGCAGCAGGAACTGCGCACGGTCGCGGATTCCTGCCTCCGCCGTAGCCTAGCAAACCAGAAGTCTCACTCCCAACTTCTTAATGATTTGTATACAAGATATGTGTCTTAAATAACCAGCTACTGTGTGGTGTAAAAAAGAGAGGATGCCAAAAATCATTTGCTGAAAGTAAAAGTAATTAAACTGGATTATCTTTAGGAATTCCTGTTATTCAAACGTATCTAAATCTGCCTTTATGGAAGAGTTCTCCCTTCCATATTTGAGTACATAATGTTGTCCATTATGGGCACAAATTATCTACAGATTCTTCTATCACCTGAGAACTGCCCATATAAACAAGTTTGCAGTAATTAGAGGACAATGTAAAAGAATACCACAATCTCTCTCTCTACTTAGATACAATAACTTATATATTACTGTTTTCTGCTTATAGAGTTATATGTATTTACATGTCAAATCTAATATACAACTGGGAACTTTCCAATTGCGAAAACGTAATTTGCGCTTGAGTGAGACATTCCTTGAAGATCTAAATATGTTGCCCAGTACCTATGAGAAGGGAGAGTATTTTACATTTCTGGAAATATATGGAACTCATTATTCACAGAGAGGAACCATTGGAGGAAAATATGAATTAATATACGTGCTGGATAACCGAACTATGACATCACAACGTAAGGATATACTGAAAGTAATCTCTTATAACCAAGAGGAAATAATGGGAAAACTGTCAATCAGGGCAACTGATTTCTGACCATCAACATGTTTTCTTTCCAATTGAGTTCTTCAAAAATCTTAATTTAGATAGGTTCAGGACACCAGTTGTATCTAATGCTCATTAACCCATTGTGATACTAAACATCTTATGATGTTTATATTGACCTGCCATTAGTTTTGTTGATGATTTCTTGACTTCAGAGGCAAGCAATGGATTCCCTGTACAGGTAGTTCTCAACTTACAACCAGTTGCTTAGTAACCATTCAAAGTTATAACAGACTCCTGAAAAGTGACATACAACTTTGAAATTATGGCTGCTGTAGTGCCCTTGCGGTTGTGTGAGGGTGGGGAGAATGGATTTGCCCTTACAACCAATAGCAGGGACACTGCAGCATCTACTACTCCAGAGTTCCAGGGCTCCAGAGTCATGCTGAGAAAGGAGATTCCACCACTTGGTACTCTTGGCTCCATCCTGAAAGGGGACACCATTTTCAGAGTGACTGCAATGAATTGTGGCAGCTCCTAAAATGGCACCTGCTTCCAGGGCAGCCCCATGTGGTCTGCAGGGTTGCAAGGGATCAAATGCCATACTTTCCTTTCCCACTGCAAGTTCCAAAGCTCTGGAGATCTACAGGAGATGAGTGATTGGTGAAAGGGTGTGGGGTGGAGGGTATGGGGAGGAGGGCATTGGATCTAGTGGGGTGGGAAATTCTAGTGTGGAAACCCTGAGGGGTGGGATTGGAGTGTGGGGTGCCTCAGGATGGGGGAGGCTTTGGGAGGTCTGAGGTAGGAAGAAGTTAGAAAGGGTACTAGCCTTATTGTAACTCCTCATGTAAACCATTTTGTAAAGGTATGGTTTTACCTACCACCTATCTTTTACAATTGTCTTTGCCTCAGAAGACTTATTAACCCATTGTGATACTAAGCTTGAAAAGAATTTTATTTGCATTCAATAAATTTTTGATATTTCCTGGGCTAAGACCTCACCAGCCTTTGAATAACTCAAACTTGGCAAGTTTAAGATTTGTGGACTTCAACTCCCAGAATTCCTGAGCTAACATGACTGGAGAAGGAATTCTGGGAGTTGAAGTCCACAAGTCTTAAAGCTGTCAAATTTGAAGACCCCTGAACTATAAGATAATGAGGAATGGTTCACTTCTTCTCAGGCGGAAATTCCTTTACAGATGAATTCACATCTGCCCAATTCCAGGGGTGAGTCAGCTTGAAGCTGGTCCATTACTTTTTAAGCACCTTTCCTACGTGCATTGTTTTGAAGAAGAAGAAAAAAATTGGATGCCCTGATGTCTGAGTCCTTGATCTGTGCCACATCGATACATACATATATATCAGCCTTTCCTCAAAATGGTGCCTTAGAAATTTGATGGTTATAACTCTCAGTAAGATGTGATGGCTCAGCGATTAACGATACTGAGCTTGTCAGCTGGATGGGTTCAAGACCCAAGCACCTTATGCCAGAGTGAGCTCCTCTTACTTGCCCCAGCTCCTGCCAACCTGGCAATTCAAAAGCATGCAAATGTGAGTAAATAAATAGGTACAACTTTGATGGGAAGGTAACCTGGACATATAGTCATGTTGGCCACATGACCATGGGAATGTCTTTGGGTGGCACTCAGCTAAGAAGCAGAGATGATCACTGCCCCCTAGAGTCAGATTTTATAACTTCAGAGTTTGTAATTCAGAATTCCTATCCTGTATGGAAATTGTATTCTAACATATGTGGACAACATCAGATAGGGGGAAAAGATTACCACTAGAGATAGTTTATCTGCACTTCTGGTTTGATAACCCTTATATTAGAGGTTGGTTCAGATCTCAAGTATGAGCTATTTGTCTACCTGTTGCATGGGGCAGGGAAGAAAGAGAGAGAGAGAGAGAGGTGACAAAATTAAAAAAATAAAAGAAAGAGACACAAAGTAAAAACATTTCTATTTCTACTATTGGCTATGGCTGCACCCATTGCTTGCTTCATCACTTCCCACTTGCCACCTCTTTCAATGGATATAAAATCAAGAGTTTCTAACTAACAATGCTTTAATTAAAAGATATAAAAACATTGCAAAGCATTGGACATATGCTGTTTACTTCCCACCTGTAATCATTTTTACTGTCTGTATTTTCAGGGATCACTACAAAAGATGTAAATGAATGTCTAGGCTTTAATTTAAATATTGAGGCCAACATATTTTTCGCAGAAGTCAAAACGAAGATTAAAAATGAAAAATGTAAAAGGTTACAGTCAGAAAACGGTAAGTATCTCAGCTCCTACCTTTTTCTGACGTTTTGATCTCTAAGTTTGCATTTTAATTGGTACACAGTATCCCTCATACTGGAACTAAATTGTATTGTTGGAATATGTCCATCATGAACTCTACAATCACATAAGGTAATGTACAACACACACACACACACACACACACACACACACACACATACACATATATATATATATATATGGGGCATACAGCTTTGTCTGGGTATTTTCCCATGTCATTGTAGTTGTGCTTTTAAAGTTGTAGCAACGTTTCAGCAGAATCTCATCTGCCCTCATCAGGCTTCTGTATAGTGTTCGTTTGTGAGTCAGACTTTTCCCAGTCAAAGGCTGGGAAAGTCTGACTCACAAACGAACACTATGCAGAAGCCTGATGATGGCAGATGATTCTGACGAAACGTTACTACAACTTTAAAAGCACAACTATAATGATGTGCCAATCACTATACAATGCTATGATATAGTAGTAATAGAATAGAATACTTTATTGGCCAAGTGTGATTGGACACACAAGGAATTTGTTTGGGTGCAAATGCTCTCAGTGTACATAAAAGAAAAGATACATTCATCAAGAATCATCAGGTACAACACTTAATGATAGTCATAGGGTACAATAAGCAATCAAATCATATAGGAAATAGCCAATATAAATCATAAGGATACAAGCAACAAAGTTACAGTCCTACAATCACAAGTGGGAGGGGATGGGTGATAAGGAGTGATGAGGAAATTAACAGTAATAGTAGTGCAGACTTTGGAATAGTTGAACAGTGTTGAGGGAATTATTTGTTTAGCAGAGTGATGGCTTTCAGGAAAAAACTGTTCTTGTGTCTATTTGTTCTGGTGTGCAGTGCTCTATAGCGTCATTTTGAGGGAAGGAGTTGAAACAGTCTGTGTCTGGGATGTGAGGGGGTCTGTAAATATTTTCCCAGCCCTCTTTTTGACTCATGCAGTATAAGGGCCTTGATGGAAGGCAGGTTGGTAGTAATTGTTTTTTCTGCAGTCCTAATTATCCTCTGAAGTCTGTGTTGTCCTGTTGGGTTGCAGAACCAAACCAGACACTTATAGAGGTGCAGATGATAGACGCAATAATTCCTCTGTAGAACTGTATTAGCAGCTCCTCGGGCAGTTTGAGCTTTCTGAGTTGACGCAGAAAGAACATTCTTTGTTGTGCATTTTTGATGATGTTTTTGATGTTAGGTGTCCATTTTAGGTCATGTGATATAATAGATCCTAGAAATTTGAAGGTCTCTACTGTTGATACTGTGTTGTCTAGTACTGTAAGAGGTGGTAGTATGGGAGGGTTTCTTCTAAAGTCTACCACCATTTCTATGGTTTTGAGTGTGTTCAGTTCCAGATTGTTCCGGTTACACCACGAGGCAAGTTGTATAACCTCCTGTCTGTAAGCAGACTCGTCATTGTCTCGAATGAGACCAATCACTATTGTGTCATCAGCAAACTTCAGTATTTTAACAGATGGATCATTTGAGATGCAGTCATTGGTATATAGGGAGAAGATAAGTGGAGAAAGCACACAGCCTTGGGAGGGGGGGGGCTGTGCTGATTGTACAGGTATTGGATGTGATTCTGCCTAGCTTCACCTGCTGCTTCCTGTCTGTTAGGTAATGCTTATGTCGTATATTTGTGTGAATGGACTTTCATGAATGTTAAAGTATATTAGACTTGCAAAAAGCAAGCAAAGAAGGCAGACATTTTTGCTGAGAAAGATTTCAGTTAATGCAGTGGAAATTTTCTATGAAAGACAAAAAATGAAGAATGCATCGAAGGGACAATAAGTTATATTTCGCTTGAAGTAATGAGGCAATCTCCCAGTTCAACTTCAAACCTTTATTGTCAGAGTACAACATGTGTACAATGAGATTGGCTGAGCCTCCCTTTGTGCACCCCTCCAAACACAATCCAACTCATAGTGAAGACAGAAAATCCCTAACCCAGTGAATCCTACTAACAAATTTACAATCCTATTGCAACAAGTGAACTTATTGCACGTCGTGCCGGCCCTACAAGTCACTTGTAATATAGTTGGTAGAAACTCACAGTTACTCTATTTTCAACCATGGTAAACATCATTTTCCTTTCTTTGAAATTATAGTGAAAATAATTGTAATTTTCAGTTATATCATCTTCTTTATGATAATCTTCTTCGTTACTCAGGGACGTTGTTCTGGAAAGCCACTCTTCCTCTTTTTTCAGCTCCTGTTCTTTTCTCTTCCAGGTTCTGCGAATGAAAAAAAAGGCATTATCCAAGATATAGTCTCTCTGATTCAAGGTGGAACAACAGCTACTCTAACAAAGTTGAATGAAATGCTTTCTTCAAATGTCAATTCTGTTGATGTTGAACAGTATGTTGAATGGGCTGCTACATTACCTCAAGCTCCTGCTCTGATCAAACAAGAGGTGGGAGGATTTTCTTCTATCAATAAGTTGGAGATTTCTTCTTTTTTTTTTTTAAATAGAATACTTTATTGACCAAGTGTGATTGTACACAGAGGGAATTTGTCTTGGTGTAAATACTCTCAGTATACATAAAAGAAAAGATAAATTCATCAAGAGTTGAGAATCATAAGGTATGACACTTAATGATAGTCATAGGGTACAATAAGCAATCAAATCATACTAGGAAACAGTCAATATACATCATAAGGATACAAGCCACAAAGTTACAGTCATACAGTCATATGAACCTATAAATGAACAGGTTTCTTCTTTCTTGAAGAAATATTTAAAAGTTAAAAGCTTTTCAGAATCAAAGATTCTAGTCAAACATAAGTAGTTCTCAAGTTACAGCAGTTCATTTACTGACTGTTCAAAGCTACAATGGCACTGAAAAAAGCGAGTTGTGACTTTTTCACACTTAGCATGATGGCAGCATCCCCATGGCCACATGATCAAAATTCGGACACTAGGTCATTAGCTCATATTTGTAATGGTTGCAGTGTCCCAGGGTTATGTGGCTTTCTGAGACCTTCTGACAGACACACTCAATGGGGAAGCCAGATACACTTACCAATTGGGTTACTAACCTAAGAACTGCAGTGATCTGCTTAATAGCTTTGGAAAGAAAGGCTGTAAAATAGGGCAAAATTCACTTAACAAATGTCTCACTTAGCAACAGGGATTTTGGAGCTCAATTGTAGTCATAAGTCGAGACCAGCTGTAAATCTAAAAAAAAAAACTTCTGGTGATAATGGGAATGTTTTGCATTTGGTCTTCTGGAAATCGTTTGCTACAGTTTTCTTTCAACACTTTACTTTTTTAAAAAAAGTTCTGGGAGTTCCTAATGAACCTTCCTTCCTTCCTTCTTCATTTCATTGCTCACGCAAGACTTTTAAAACCTCTGGACCTTTACTTTATTTTTCTCAGCAACCTTTATATTTATATGCTGCAGCAGTAGCAACAAATCTGTAATAAACAAATATTATAATGTCTGCATCCTTAAGAATCAGAGTATTTATTTAGGAAAGGGGAATATTACTACAGCGGAGTACAGATGTTCTCAGGATGAAGTGCTGTATCCTGCACAGAACTGTGTAATAATGGTAAGCAATGGTTTAAACTGAAAAATAAATGCACACATACATGTGGTTAAATATTTTTGCAGATGGCCCCGATTTCTGAACTTATCCCACTGAATATCCCAGACTCCCGAATAAAGAAAGTAAATCTGGACAGAGCTGTAGAGGATTACGTGGCTGAATACAGCGTATGCAAATGCAAACCTTGTCTGCATGGTGGAACGGTGATCCTGATAGAAGGGAAGTGTGAATGTGCTTGCACTCCATTTTACAAGGGAGAAGCCTGCGAAATACCCACTTCAGATTTGATACCAGGTTAGAAATCATTCAGTGACTTACCATATATTTTAATGGTTCTTTTAGCTCTACTGTGTTATTTAAAAATATTTAAAAAACTTAAATTGTAAGCAAATAAAATAATAGAGACTGTTTCATTAAATAATATCCATCACCCAATCAGCAGCAGTCAAATCAAAGCCATCTATGACAAATCAGAAAATGCTACCAATTATTCTTAACTTAGTAGAGTTGCAACTATGAATACTTGTTTATAGAAGAGTCTGGATGGACAAAGCTAATGTCTGTATAGAATAAGGAATGCGGTGGCTTAGTGGCTAAGATGCTGGGCTTGTCGATCAGAATGTTGGCAGTTTGGCGGTTCGAATCCCTAGCACCATGTAATGGAGTGACGTCCTGTTACTTGTCCCAGCTTCTGCCAACCTAGCAGTTCAAAAGCATGTAAAAATGCAAGTAGAAAAATAGGGACCATTTTGCTGGGAAGGTAACAATGTTCCATGCGCCTTTGGCATTTAGTAATGCCAGCCACATGACCACAGAGACATCTTTGGATAGCGCTGGCTCTTCAGCTTTGTAACGGAGATGAGCACCACCCCCTAGAGCCGGAAATGACTAGCGCGTATGTGCAAGGGGAACCTTTACCTTATATAAAGTAAATAAGAATTTTCTCCCATAGATTTAGAATGTTTTTGACCACATCCACACACTTCACTAAAATATGTAATGTTTAATCTTTGTTTCTTGGAGGGGAAAAAACTATTGGTTGATACAGATTTATGCAATAAGTTAGCCCAAATAGCCAATCAATATATAATTAAGGTATACTGTGTAACTGTGAGATTCTGAAGGTAGATGGAGTTATTTCTGAAGTTCTGAATGTTCTGAAGTTAGACAAATGTTTTCTGATCTTGATACAGCTGATACAGCCATTCATGGGAGCTGGAGCTGCTGGTCTAACTGGTCCACCTGTCAGCAAGGACGACGCCAGCGAACAAGAAAATGTAATAATCCTGCCCCTGGATATAGGGGCAGGTCATGTCCTGGCGCAAATTTAGAACCAGGCCATTGTTAATTTCAGAAGATAACTAACAGGTTTGTAGCTTCTGGATATGTACAATGAATATGGTATAATTGTAACATAAGACTTTGGGACACTTTGGATTTAATGCTTTTGGAAATAGCCTATATGCTTCCTATGGAGAAATGAAACTAATGAAGGATTTGCTGGTTTAGTCGGAAGGAAGGGAGGGAGGAAGGGAGGGAGGGAAGGTAGCAAAGAAGGAAAGAAGGAAAGATGGAAGGGGAAGGAGAGGGAGTTCAAGACAACAAACATAATGGTCCCTCCTCAAAGAGAAACCCTGTGAGTTATACTCCTCATTCCTAGTCCAACTCCTAAACTGAATGTTTCTCAACCTGGACAACATTTAGTTGTATGGCTTTCAACTCAAGAATTCCTAGCCAGCATGGGAGTTGAAGCCCACACATTTTAAAGTTTGTGGGGTTGAGAAATACTGCACTAGGCCACACTGGCTCTTTCATAATAGGTACTAGTACACAGAGGTGGTATTCAGCAGGTTCTGTCCAGTTCTGCAGAACCAGTAGAGGAAATTTTGAGTACTTTGGAGAACCGGCAAATACCACTTCTGACTGGCCCTGCCCCATCTATTCTCTGCCACCCAAATCCCAGCTGATTGGTTGGGTCTCCTTTTGTTGCCTTGCATAGGAGAACAGAGCTGGTTAGTGGGGTGGGAAGAGAATGGGATTTTGCAGTAACCTTCCCCCAGGAGTGGGGTAGGAATAGAGATTTTACAGTATCCTTCCCCTGCCATGCCCACCAAACCATGCCATGCCGACCAAGCCATGCCCATAGAAATTTTGAATCCCACCACTGCTAGTACAGAAAATCGCAGGATATTCTCCCATCCAAAAAGAGTTCCTCTAGCAAGTTCTATACCTTACAGTCAGCAATTCTTAGGGAGTAAAATTTGCAGGGACTCCTTCGCCTTTTTACCAGGTTCTACCCAGCCATTGTATTCTTTTTTTTCCCCAATGTGCTCTTTGTCTTTTCAAAGTGACAATGTTTTAAAGTAAGCCAGGTGTCACTGTGCTTCTACATTTCCCCCCTCTCCACTTTTCAGGAGTTAAAATTTTGGTTATACTGTGTTTCTCATAAAATAAGGCCGGGTCTTATATTTTTTTTGAGCCCCGAAAAAACGGCTAGGCCGTCTTTTCGGGGGTGACTTAATTCCCTCCCTTGCATCTTCATCTAGAGTGCCCCGCAGGCAGCCTCGCCACCAGCTGCTCCTAATGGGTGATCATGGCGAAGCTCAGAGAGCTCCCTACTCCCACCAAACACCTTTGCTGCAGACCCAAGACCTTTGGCACCCGCCGCTGTTGCTTTCCCTTCTGCCCATTCCACCACCATGTTTGGAGCTGCCACTTTCGTGTTTGGAGTGCCGCTGCCATTTGGAGTGCTGCCGCCATTTGGAGCACCGCCGTCATGTTTGGAGTTGCCACTTCCGCATTTGGAGCTGCAGCCGTGTTTGGAGTGGCGGCAGCACTCCAAATGGTGGTGGTGCTCCAAATACAGGCAGTGCTCCAAACACGGAAGCAGCAGCTCCAAACACGGCGGCAGCTCCAAATACGGACATGGCAACTCTAAACAGCGGCAGTGCTCCAAACAGCGGTGGTCTTCCAAACACAGAAGTGGCAGCTCCAAATGCAGCGGCAGCTCCAAATGCAGAAGCAGCAGCTCCAAACAGCTGTGGTGCTCCAAACGTGGAAGTGGCAGCTCCAAACGCAGTGGCGGCATGGGCAGAAGGGAAATCAACAGCGGTGGGCACTGAAGGTCTTGGCTCTGCAGCAAAGATGCTTGGCAGGAGTAGGGAGCTCTTCACGCTCTGCCATGATCGCCCATTAGGAGCAGCTGGTGGCGAGGAATTGCTACCTGCGGGGCGCTCCTAACGGCAAGTCCCCCCACCCTTCCCCCCATTTCGCATGTTTTAAAATAGGCCTAAATTTGGGGGGAGGGGCTTAATTTCATTTTATGGCTAGAAAACATGCTGGGTCTTCCTATTGGGGGAGGTCGTATTGTTGGAGAAACACGGTAGTTGTGACAAAGTGTTTTTATTGATATTTGTTGTAGATATGGAAGCGACCATTTATACCCCTGGTTTCTTTCTTTTTATACTATCAGTACTTATTTAGCAATTTTATCAAATAATGTCACAATATGGAGTGACACTGACAAATGCAAGTTCTAAGCTCTTTCAAAATAATTTTGTGCCTGTTTGGAATGATATTTTAAAAAGATCTACCAAGGTAGGATTAAATGGCAATTATCTTTGTTGAGAAGAATCTCTGTAATTAGAATGAATGTTTTATCAAAGCTGTTCTTTTTATTGCAGACATTGCCAATATTGATGACTGATGTTCCATTTAAACAACGGCAAACAGATTTTTCTAAGTTTATATAGCAATGGGGGAAAAACTGAAGAATTAAATATAAATTGTTGCAAGTTGCTAAACATAGAAAATGTTTGGGTTTACCAGATTTAGAATTGTATTCTGATGCTTCTTGTTTGGTCTGGCTGAAAGACTGGGTTACCATTAAAAATAAGAGATTAGTACAACTGGATGGCACACCTACTATCACATAGCAAGATTAAAATAAACACTGACTTTTTGAATAATTTTGTTTGATGAACCATCCTAAGAATTTGGAATAAATATAAAATAAGGCGTTCTCCTAAGATATTTCTTTGGGAGTCATATCATGAAGCCTTTTTCAGAAAACAAATGACGGTCAGACTAAAACGGTGGACTTATGGTGAAATAATATCTTTTACTCAAGGGGAAATATCTTTTACTCAAGTCAAAAGAAGAATTGAAGTCAGGAGGACATGTTTGTCACTGATTCATATATTTACAACTGGGGAAAAAAGATTTTATTTAAACAAGAAATTATGGGTTTGAATCAGTAAAATTGAAATTTTACTGATTCAAATCCATAATTTTAAAATAAAATTGAAATTTTACTGGGAGCTAATAACATAATTAGCATGTTATTGCCAAGGTTTACAAAAAGTTGTTGAAACTGAATATGAAAAACAAATATGTAAAATATTGTATAAATCAATGGGCAAAAAATGTGAATATAATACAATCCTTGAGGAATGGGAAAATGTGGATGCTTGGCCTGAAATTTACATTGAATTATAATTTTAAAGAAAACTTTTATAGTATGATGTATCATTGGTACTTAAAACTTGACAAATTGTCTAACATGTATAAAGGTATCTCAGATGTATTTTGGAAATATTGTAAATAAGGAACTTTTTATCATCTTTGGCAGATTTGTGAAGAAGTATGGGGGGGGGGGCAGATTTATGCTCCAATTCAGTAAATTCTTAAAATGAATATAAAATTGAAAGTGAATTTTATATGAGTCAAGAAGGAAAGCTACATCAATCCCACAATGGAAGAATGGATGAAAAAAGTGATGGAGTTGCAGAGATGGCAAAATTAATTAGTTTTAATCATAGAAAAGAATATATTTAGTTTTGCTTCTGCTTGGAGATCCCGTCTAGACTTTGCGTTAGAGAAAAAATGTAATTCGGATTTAGGGTTTTGTTGATTACATTAGGTTGCTGTTATAGAAATTGTTAGTTTTTACTAAATATGTAAAACGTTGAGGTTGTAATTCTTTTTTGTATTTTACTATGCTGGAAAAAAAAAGTTGGAAGTCATTGCTTTATTTTCCCTTTCCCTCTGGTCCCATACTTCTCTTTCCTCATTTCTTCCTTCCCCATTTCCCTACTTTCTTTGTTTTCATTTACTGTATATTTTATATTATGATATAAATTAAAAAAAACTTTTAAAAAGTTGGAACTTCTGTCCAAGCTTTGATCAGTGTACAGTTATTACTAATTCAATCCTATGACCTTTTTTGAAATCTAAAAATTGGGGTTGATAATACTAAGATATTCTTTGACTCATGCAAAATGTTGATAATTATGAAAATTGTAGTGTCAATACATTTAATGTGGGAAGGCCAAATACTTGCTCAAGGCCTGTTTTGGTTACACATATGTTTGCTCAAAACAGTGACTAACAGTGATATGTATTAGACTGCACTATGTACCCTTTCCTTTGACCACAACAGAAAAAAGGTCATGCTCCTGAATGACAGTTTGGGAGTTCTGTTTTCTGTGACGAAGTTAATATCCTGATCATCAGATATGCCAAAGGTTGTTCCAAAGGTGCTTTTTCAAGAGACAACAGGACTTTCTTGTTTTTTCTTTTGAAGACATTTCACTTCTCATCCAAGAAGCTGCTTCAACTCTGACTGGATGGTGAGAAATGGGAGGATTTATATTCCTTGCAGACAACTGGTCATTTGCATCCTTTTAGAGCAGGGGTCGCCAAACTTTTCGACCTCGGGGACCACCAAACTCAAAATTTTAAATCCCAAGGACCACTGATATGATTTTTTTTTTAAAAGATAATATATTGAATATAAAAAGTTTATTTTTATATTAAATATAAATTTAATATTAAAAGAATAATTATACACACACACACACACAAATGCTCATTTAATTATAACAAAATCGTAAATGCTTAATCATAACTGTGGGGCAGAACGAAGGGAAAGGAGGGGCCTCTCTCATCCTTTGGGGGGAAAGAGGGAGGATTTAAGAAGCCACATGGAGCCTGGAGGCTGGGAAGATCTGGATGAGCCTGGAGGCTGGGAAGATCTGGATGTGGAGGAACCGGCTCCCCCTCAAATGGAAGAAAAGCAGAGCCATCTTATATCTCCCCCAAGTCAGACAAAACCTCTCCCTCCTTTGCCTGGAGTTGGGGGAGGGAAGGAGGGCTGGCCAGGCAACACCCCCCCTCTTCGGCCTCCACATAAGAAGAGGACTCCCCGAGGCTAAGCTCCAGGTTTCTCCTGTTGCTTCCAAGCAGAGAAGGATCCCTTCCTATGTGGAGGCTGAAGGGTGGGGGGGTGTCGAGCCCAGAAAAGCTGGAGTTCTCGCCTGCACAAATAGGTTGGTTATTAGGAGCCCGTCTTCCTCAGCGCTCTTTTGGTCTGGGCACTTGGTCTTCCTGCTCCCCATGCCAAAGGAAAGCCAGCCGGGCTTCTCCTTCCCTCCTACCCTTCCCCCCACTCAATCTTACTTTGGGACAGAGGGGAGCGCACTGGAAACATGTGTTGGCTTTTCCAACATGCCTTTCTCCGGCGCTCGCTCGCAATTCTTCACATTCCTCCAGGCCTGGCTTGCTGAGGGGGAGAGCAGCCCTGATGTCTCTGCTGCCCTCCCCCGCCGCCCCAGGAAAAGAAAGCAAGCAGAAACAGCTCTCGCTGGGGTGAAAGACCAGAGATTGGAAAACACAGGCAACAGAAAGTGGTGCTTTTCAAAGACAGCAGCTTCCGTGTTCTCTTGCCTATGCCTTCCTCGATCTCAGCTCTTTCGCCCAAGTGAGAGCTATGTTTCTGCTTGCTTTTCCTGTGCTTTCCCCATGCAGCAATGGCTGGGGCTGTTGGAGGGGGTGGCAGAGCAGAGCACCAAGAGGGACGAGGAAACCGATGCCGACACCCCATTCCGGACCTCAGAACTGGATGGTGAGCACAGACTTGCCCACTCTGTCCCCTCCCACCACCACCAGCTGGTACTTTTCCTGCCCTGGGCTGTCCTTACAGGCCGTGGCCATTGAGGAAGAGCCCAGGCCAGGAGAGGCAAACTGGAAGGTGTGGGAGTGCCACGCAAATGCAAGTAGCGTGGCTTTCCTGCACCTTCCAGCAATCTCCATTGCCGCTTCAGCCCACCTGTGCCGCTTGCCCCCTTCTTGCTGCCATAGTACCATTACCTCATCCTGCCCAGCGAGGGCTGCACTGTTTTTTGCAGGTTTGCGCTCAGCCGAAGGGTGGGAGTCAGCAGGTGGGTGGGCTTTGGGGGGTGCTTTGGGGGGGACAATTCTCTGCAGCCCACCAAAATTTTCTCATAGCCCACCAGTGGGCCGCGGCCCACCAGTTGGCGACCACTGTTTTAGAGGGTCATTGAAGCACTTGGAGGTTTTTTCTGTGCCCTCAGGGTCACCTGAGTAGTGGTCCTGGCTCCTGTTTACTCAGGTGATCCTGAGGTCATAGATAAAACTCCAAGTGCTTCAACAAGGATACAAATGACCAGCTGTCCTCTTAATAAATTATAACATACTTATTGAGACTACAATAAAATGTTTCTCCTGATGAGGGTGCTAGCTAATCAGCTAAATGTTTTATTAAATGCAGACAGGCAGGAGAAAGAGAATGAGAGATGTACAAACAGAAAGAAATATCAAATTCTATTGCCATATAGTATCCTTACCATTTGAGGCTGTTTGGCTGTTTTTCTTGTCCCAACAAACATTTATTGCAGCATATAAGCCAAACTTGGCTGATCTAAAAATAACAATAACAACAATGAAACTGAATTTAGTTGATTAGTACTAGGATGGATGTCTAGAAAATCCCAGATCTTTATTCTAGATTAGGAAGTTACCTCAGAAGTAGGCTATTGGGAAAAAAACACTCACTTATTGCCAGTAAAACATTATTGTGTCCAATGAGGAATGGAGTCGAACTAAAATTCTTTACCTTAAGTTTACCTTAACCATTGAATTTCCAAAAGACTGTCTATTCTCATTTCCAGATTATTTCAGTTTAATTGCTTAAGGTTTTTACAATTGAAACGAATTCTCTATTCTCCATCTACTGTTGCTGTAAAATGATTACTGCCCTTACCCATAAGGAAGTTTGGGGGAAATTCTCAATCCTGGATTAAATTTTCTGGCCATTGATAAAATATAATTCACAGTAATTGTTATGAATAAATTTATGATACTGTAAATTCTAGGGTGTGCCAAATTTTTCAACTTTCAATTTCCAAACATTAGGGGTGCTCAAAAGTTGTCACATGCCTTGGGGATTGTAAAGGTAGTTTGGTTACTTAAATATAGTTCAGATGTGCTTGTTAAGTAGCTGCATAAATATCATAACTTTTTAACATTTTGTTTGTTTAATTACTGTATGTACAGCATTATTTGTCTTTTCCAGGCCATAAGCTTGGGGGAAAAAGCCCCATCAGCTGGCTCCCTTGTCAGACAAAAGCGTAGAATCTGTAAGAAGTAAATGATGGTGACGTAAATGGGGTTTTATTGATATCTCTTGTCCTTTGAGCAGATTCCACTTTTGTGTTTCATAAAGGCTTGGATTAAGCAGTAAATACTGAAATATTGTAAACACGGTAACTACTGAGACAAATTCAAGTTTGAAGCCTGATGTGTCAAAGAAGCAAACATCTTGGAACTGAGAATTCATCTTTGCTGTTACATAACCTCTGATCAACCGTCAAGCAAAATAGGGCACATTGTCCTGCATAACCTGATAACTGAAAATTAGGATTCATGGTGGGTCAACTTTCCTGTGCTCTGGAATGCCCCCATTCCCTGATCTCAAATTCTATAAGATCTTTTAGGCACCTGTTGGAGACCCATATTTTCACCCTACATGAAGGTGGCTTGGAGGGCCACTCTTCAGATGTTATTTTCTTTCTGCCACCATTAACAAGTTGTGGATAAAGGTTATGGTTAGTATAATGTATTTATAGACTGCTTTTCCTTATTATAACCTGGTAGTCAATATAAAATTTATGTAATATCTAAATTAGTAGTAGTACATATATAATTTATATAATTATATAAATATAATTAATAATATTTTCAGATCCATATTTTTTCCCACTGCGTACATATTATAATGAAACCACTAAGAGATTAAATAAGTCTTTTTGTAATGAACCAGTTAGGGGATATCCATTATTCACAAATGTCCACTAAATGCAGAAGTATATAATTAGAGCAATGTATGTCATTGTACAAAAGATGTAAATCCCCATGGAAATTTGGTCCACTAGGTGCAAAGTTCTTATCCTGAGGTCTATAAAATACAGTTTTCAACATATTTTCAGAGTCATAGACTAACGGGATGCATCTGCAGAATTAGTCACTGGCAGTTTGAAGAACATCTTTCATGTGGCTTTAATAATTGCTTTATTAACTCTAGTACCTTGATCTCTTGTACAGAGAATAGAAAAACCATGTGCCCCGTAGAACTTCCCATCCCCTGAATTTACAGACCTTAGAACAGGGCTATCAAACTCCTGGCCTGTAGGCCGGATGGATCATGCGCTGGCCATGCCCACATCCAGGTTAGCAAAGCAGGGAAAGTCCTGGTACATCATGTGACACAGCTTTTGCAACATGAGTTTTGCATCTCTGCCTTAGACCAATCAACCAAAATCCAGTGACAAAATATTTAACACATTCATTTTACTTCTTAAAACTTTTTAAGCCCTCTCCCCAAGTCCATTGACTTAAAAATGGGCTACAACAATTAACTCTGTGACCACATCTATAACATTTACAAACAACTAACAGGATTCAAAGTGTACAACTCTGACTAGTATTAGTTACAAGATAGAACAAGATCTTAGAATATACCAACGTTCACAATCTTTTCTTCCTGTTCAATGACCAGCTTTCTCTGAAATTACTAGTATATTGTAAATACCAGGGCTATCCACAAAATAGATTATGTTTTCGTCTGTAGCAAGAAGGGATGGAGCTAGCGTGGCTATCTTTGGTCTGTGCGTCTGCCACTCAGTCTGCATCTAGTCGTGCTAGTGGGAAGTTCATATGGTTGCTCGTTATTTCACAGCAAACGTTTCAAATGTGTGCTGCAATTGAAAATCCTGCGAGTTGTGAGGTGCAATCAGTGATAAGGTTTCTGTTGGCAAAAAGCCATAAACCGATTGAAATTTTTCAGCAACTGTGTGAAGTGTACAGGGACAACATCATCACTGAAGGTGGAGTGCGCCAATGATGCATTAAGTTTAAAAATGGCCGAACTAACGTTCATGATGAACAGAGGAGTGGACGAGCATTGTGACTGATGAACTGGTCACGAAAGTCGATGACAAGATTCGTGAAAACCACCGTTTCACAGTAACAGAACTTTCGCTTAGTTTTCCACAAATTTCACGCAGTTTGTTGCATGAAATTGTTACACAAAAGCTAGGCTACCACAAATTTGGTGCAAGATGGGTGCCAAAAATCCTGACAGAAAACCACAAGAATCAGCGTATGGCCGCATCATTGACATTTCTGTACTCTTACGACAAAGATGGAGATTCATTTCTTGATTGAATCATAACTGGAGACGAGACTTGGGTCAAACATGTGAACAGCGAGACCAAATTGCAGTCTATGCAGTGAGGACACACAAATTCCCGCAAAAAAAACCCAAGAAAATGTTTGCAAACATTCTCTGCAAGGAAGATTATGGCGAGTGTTTTTGGGGATAGGCAAGGTGTGCTTCTTATCGATTTTCTGGAACATGGTGCAACAATAAACTCTGTGAGGTATTGTGAAACATTGCAAAAAGTAAGAAAAGCAATTCAGAACAAGCGTAGAGGAAAGTTAAGCTCAGAAATTTTGTTTTTGCATGACAATGCCCGACCACACACAGCAAATCCCACTCGAGAAGTCCTGAATGCTTTCAAGTGGGAGATTTTTCCTCATCCGCCCTACAGCCCCGATCTTGCACCAAGCGACTACCACTTGTTTCTGAGGATAAAGACCTGGCTTGGAACACAGCGCTTTGACGACAACGCGGAACTGCGGGCAGGCGTGACTGACTGGCTCAAATCTCAGGAGGCTGAATTTTATGACAATGGAATTACAAAGCTTGTTCACCGCTATGATAAATGCCTCAATTTGTTCAGTGAATATGTTGAAAAGTAGTATTTAAGTGTCACTTTCAAGTGTGTATAATAAAAAAAATTTTCCTACACTTTGTTTTTTTTTTATTGCAAAATGTAATCTATTTTGTAGATAGCCCTCGTATATTGTTTAAAGCATCTGTACTCAGGCCACTTCATTCTTCAAATGAATGTAGTGTACAGGTAAGGACAGCACTTTTGCCTGCTTGAGGTAAAATTGAAATATCGTTAAGATCAATAGGTTTGAAATCAGTATTTGACTTTATTTTGAACATTTACGCCCTTCCTGTCTGACAAAGGATGTTCACCACAAGGCTTTTGTTATGCAATTCTTTTGCCTCTTTTGCAGAAGGTTCTGAGGGTGTCTAAGTGCAGAGTTCTTACTTTCCTCCTGTTTTCCTACTGTCTTCTCCTATCACATTTTCTTTCCACTGGAAAAAATAATCAAAATGGAAAAAGTTAATAGCTGAAGGATGTCTTTTCACCAACAGCATTACCAGTGGTCCATCTGAAAAGACAGAGCTAATCACAGTGGCTAGCGGTTGCATGAAAAGCAAAGCAGGATACTAAAATGACAAATACTTTTATGGGTAACAGCCTGTGGTGGATTCAAATTTTTTTATTACCAGTTCTGTGGGCTTGGTAAGCATGGTGTGGCTTGGTGGGGTGGCTTGGTGGGTGTGACAGGGGAAGGATAATGTAAATTCTCCAGTCAGAGGTGGTTTTTTCGCCGGTTCTCCGAACTACTCAAAATTTCTGCTACCAGTTCTCCAGAACTGGTCAGAACCTGCTGAATTCCGCCTCTGGGAATGGCAATAACTTAGAGTCAGAGCAAATTATTTCCATACAGAATAAAGATGAAAAAGGTTTGTGCCATCAGGGTTTCAATGATGTCCTTCCAGACAGCATGGCCAGTTCTGTTATATCACCAGTATAGGATCAATTTTTTGCCGCATTGTGGTGGGCTATGGGTATTTAAGAGGAAAAAGACTTTATTTACTGGGACAAAGTAAAAAAATAATAGTAAAAAATAAACCCACCCATATATATAATGTGGTCTCATCTATTCTAGGATCCTGCAAAATTATTCAACAAAACTCTTGGCCTCCCAGACATTACTCCATTTTATGTTCTTATCTTGGATCATGCCCCACAAATTACAAATAATTTTTCCATGATGTATAATGAAACAAACCACAGGATGTACCAAGGTAAGCAGCCCTAATGCTAGAAGAGCTGACCTTTTCATGTGGCAGACAGAGATCTTAAACTGAGCTGGTCAGTTAAGATGAATAGTCCCCGGATAAGGAGAGGAGACCTACTGTGAGCATAAAGCTTTGCTATGAGAAATCATTTCTTCAAAATCTCAAAATAGGAACCAGTTTTAATGAGGAAAAGGCAATGGTCTGTGTGTAAACAACAAGTACTTCTTATTTCTGGAGATGTTGCAGCCACTAACCTTTACTTTTCACCAGTCCTTTCCTTTTAAACTGCACAGTGTATTTTCAAGTTCTTGCTACACACCGTGTGGATGCCAGATCACAATATGCAAAGCATGGATTGTGCGGATTAGTTTTTCCTTGAGATACTGGATAAAACCACTGAATGCTCAAAATAGGAAGTTCCAGGCAAAGGACAGAGAAAATGTTCCTCTTGTAAAAGAGCATTGTCGAGCAGGCAAGCAAGCACAGAGTTTTCTTAACAATGGTAAGTGAAAGATCTTATCTTTATTAATTTCACCTTAGCAGATTTTAAAAAGGAGCGAAAGTTTTAAAAAAAGAGGAGTTTGATTGCTTGGCAAATTGTTCACAAGTAGCTGGCACCTAAATTCCTTCAATTCAACCAACAGCTATATACTTTGAGCTGTTTCTAAATATCACGGCTTTTGAGCTTTGAAGCAAATTGTGGAGAACTTGTCCCTATGTATGTTAAATAATAGGACAACAACTAGGTTGCATTCAGCTTAAATGACGGCAGCAATAGGAAGAACTGGGAACAAAATGGTGGAAGGATCAGTGTTTGGATTGATATTAGAGATGTTAAAGTTAAAATTCCTGGCTGCATTTAGTTAATTAGATTTTTAAGGCTAATCTATTTTAGACCACTGCTGACAAGATAAAATGGCAAATAATCATTCAGGTTGCTTGAGGTTCTTGGAGAAAAAGTGAGTTGAAATGCAACATTTTTTAAAAAAAAATTAGCAAAATTGCCAGACCTGATGAACTCAGTTGTGACCTTTGGGAAATTGGTAGTTGAAACAGCTATAAGAGGCAAAGACCACTGAAATATATTAAAATTATTAAAATTATATCACATCAATCTCTATGCAACTTTCACATCAGGATGTCTGTCAGATGTTAGGAAGTTGCAAAAACAGAATGGTTAATCTACTGGTTGCATGGTTTTGGTCTGTGCAAAATAGGACCTCATCTTTTACATAAGATAAATGTTATTTTTGGTACTTTGTTATTGTATGTTATAGTCTTTCTTATACATGTGCTGGAATTAAGGACAGAAGGAAAAAATCAAAAAGTAGGAAAAATTATCCTTTCAAAGTGATAGCATAATTCTATACAACTTTACTAAGAAGTATGCTTCATTGATTTCAGAGCAACTAATTTCCATATAAATGGTCATGAAATTACAACTTTAACCAATTTATAGACCTATTTAGAACATTTTTAAAAATGAAGTAAATGTATGGCTCTTTAATGTAAATTATCAAAACATTAAATGTGTGTGTGTGAGAGGAGGGGCATGGAGAGATCTGTAAAGCTAAGAAAAGCTGAAGTAAGATCATATAAACATAGTCACAGTTTTACTTAGTGACATCTTTGTTTAACAACTGACTTGCCAGTCCCAGTGGACTTTTATCAAGGACTACCTGTAGATAGGTAGACTTTATACAAGCCACTTCAGTCCATCCCAATCTCCTCAATTGGCTAGGAATTCTAAGAACTATAGTCCCAGCATCGAAGAGCACCAGAATGGGGAAAGTGCTTCTCTTGATGTTTAACCCAATCTGCCTCTTGAGCATGAATTCAATTCCTGTAGTAACTAGGAACAATTGGACTGATTTAAGACAATTGAATATATCTATCAAGGATCTTATTCTATTTTTTTTCTTCCTTTGAAAAATTCCAAACTGCATTCTCAGAATTTTTCAGCTGTTTTTTAAACCTTGGGAATGCGGTTTTATGTTTCTGTGCCTAGTTTAGAGATGTTTTTGAACCTCTGGTAGAATTGTTAACATTTAGACAAAATAAAGAAGCAAAACAGAATGTATATTCTGAAGAATATAGTTGGTTAGATTTGCATTGAGTGTGGACTAAAAAACCCATTTTCATGCATTTGTATATGTATCTGGGAGAGGAGAGGTTTCCTGTTCTTGTCATCAGCATTGACCAATAGTTTGTGGTGTACAATAGATCAAGTCAGAATCAGCATAGTCTAAACTTCATTGCAAAAGTACATGGAGGCCTTGCTCATGACAAAAAAAAATATTATAAGGAAATAAACAAAGAAACAATGATCTGGTTTTGTTTTCACCAAAATTTCAAATGTGAGTGACAAATGGCAGGAGAAGTCACTTAGGGATGGCCGGATTGAATTTAAGGATCAGATCTAATCCTGGACCTTTGTCAATTTCAAAGCTCTCTTGTTCTTCAGAAAAGCTGCTTCTGTGGGTGGCAGAGGTTCCTTTCTGCAAAAGTTGGGTTAGAAGTTACTCTCTACACTATTATGGAGGGAAGTTGCTCAGCTGACTCTCTACTTTTCTCCATTAGGAAAAGTATTAGGCTACAAAGTATTGGGCAAATCAGCTTAGCTGTCAGTACTACTTCTAGTGGTACCTTATATGTTGGCTTTTATAGAACTAGTTTTCTAGCTTGGTTCATTCCTTAAATCATAATCATGACAAATTATCGACTTATTCATAAGGGGAAAAAAGGAGAAATCTCCATGCCATTTGTGATTTATGTATGAGCCATAGTGTAAAAGCCTGATACTGTTTACTTCTAGACAGCCGTACAGTTTGGACTCATTAGGAAAGGGAAAGGAAATGACTAGTGGTGATAATGACATGGAGAATACAGGAGCATTCAGGGACAGATCCAGTGGTGGTAGGCTACTACTGGTTCAAACAGGTTCAGCAGAACCGGTAGTAAAAAAAAGCTTCTGATGATCAGCTGAGAAGAGGGAAACAAAGCCTCACAATCAGCTGAGTGGAGAAAGAAGAGGAAAGCACAGGATCGGCCTTCCCACCCACCCCTGTGCTTTTCTCTTCTTTATCCTCTCAGCTGATTGGTGCTGCAGGCCTCAGCTGGTGCGGGGAAAACTGCATGCGTGCATTAGGTTAGCACACACATGCGAACCAGTAGTGGAACAGGTAGAATCCCGCTGCTGGACAGATCAGACAAAACTATCCTGTCCACCATACTCCTGCAACACTGTGGAACATGAATGACATCTGAAATGCTCAAACAAAACATTATACAACAGGAGTGCAGACTTTAGGACATGAGATGGAAGACGATATGAATCAAATTAAAAAATGAAGGAAATAGATGTCCTACTTCAGACAATGTTGGCCCATCTTCAATCCAGATATTGAATACTAAACATATGGAAATTGTGCTTGGGCAGATCTTGGGCAGTTTGTTGTGTTTATGTTGGTGAGGAAGTTTGGAAACACAATCCAGTTTATCTGCAAAGCACCAGATTTAGTGTATGTGTAGGTGACATTTGCATGCAATACTTCTGATTATTCATAGAGACTGAGCTAGCAATACATAAAGCTTAATGCACCTAGAAACCCTTTGAAAATAGGTTAATTTGATGGACCTCTTAGGGACAGTTGGTGAAAAATGCATTCTATGGAGCTTCTGCTTTCCCTCACTAAATATATCCTTCTCATTTTGAGCTATAAATCTGGGAAGTAAAGGTTAGCTAGCATTCTGTATCTAGGTTTTGCAGTCCAGATCTAGCACTCTTGTTCTCACCTCCATTACAGAAATACCCACTTTGGCAAAGAGATGGAATAATTATTTCCTTAGGTATAAAAGTGTCAACTGTCAACCCTGAAGTGAGCCTGAAGTTTTCTTGTGGGAACCAAGGACATTCTCACAGGTGACTGGCCAGAGGAGGAGTAAAGTAACCGAGCAACTGGCCAGCAACCGGATTGGACAGCGTGACCAGTGACTTGGGGCAAAGGGGAATCTTTTACTTTTTAATAAGGTGAAAGCCGCAAGAACTTTCAGAGTCGGCTTTCACCAGTTGTGCCAATATGATGTATCCAATAAATTGTTCTTTGAGGAATTTGCCTGCCTCGGAGTTCTGTTTTTGGGTGCATTACTTGGAATGCTGACATCTACTTCTCTAACTGAAAGAGGTTATAATCATTTATAATCAAATGGTTATAACCTAACCATCTTCCACTGATTTTAGGATCAAACCTGCATCCAGGGTCATGTCTTTACAGTGGAATAGTGTCTGATAAGAACCACTTTCCCTACTTCTCCAGATGCATTGGACTATAATTTCTATCCTGATCTGCACATTTATCTAATGGATTTGATCAACATTTTATGCAGCAAAAGGGTCCAATTCCTCATATATTCATCTCTTCCTGACAGCAAATATCATGCCTCTTTCACAATAGAAACAATAGGCTTTGGATGTATTTATACTTCCTTAAAAGAAAATCACTTGTTTAATAACACATTAATAATATGTCATTAAACAAGTGCTTTTCTTTTAAGGAAGTATAAATTTATGTAAACAACTGGGAAATCTTGCTGTGACTTTATGTGCATTTGTTGACATAGGAATTACATTTCTTTGATTTTGGCATAGTGTGTAAACTTATCCATTAATCCATTATTTATGATGAATATAGGTGTTTTTCCCCTTTATTTGGTACATTGTGTTTAGCACGGTATGGATTTGGATAGTAAGTTTGTTTGAGTTCATTTGAAAAATGACAGAAGGGTCATATAGAAGGAAGGAAGGCCAGTAAGTTTAATGTTATGGATGTTTATATCAGCTCTATCTTGGCTGTCTCATGGCTACAGATGATATGAATCATAATCTACAATGACTTGTAGGTTCAGCTCTATTGGTGAGAAGTTGAAAAACTCAATTAGCAGGTGAAATTGATCCCTTTAAGAAGGCACTAAACAACATATCTTGCTTCCCACCCACAGAGATCTGCCCATTTTTTGCAAATAATATATTTAAATCTACTTTACATTTGCTTAGAGCAGGAAATGGACAACTTATTGAACATTCACACTAATGGGTAAATGAATATCATATGTTAATGTTACAAGTCTTTTTTACATATGGAAATATAAGAATGGATAGAACCTTATTTTTCTGAGACAAATGCACTTCTTCTCTGAAGCAGCATAATAAGGGATAAAAACATGTAGTAGTCCTAAATTTACAACCATTCATTTGGCAATTGATTCACACAAATCAGAATCACTCAATGGTGCGATCCACATAATAACTGCAGTTATTTACTTAACTACCGTGACAAAAAAAAAAGATTGTGTGTCTGGTTTAGCAATGGGAATTGTGGTCCAAATTGTGGTCATAACTCAAGGTCTACATATATTTAATATATACAGCATCCCATTTCAACAAGTCATACGTATGGAATTTCAGTAAATGTTAAATGAGGAGTTGTGCCTATTATCTCCGTA